ACGAAATAAAACTCGCAATTCCATTGTATGGAGGGCGCTCGTATCGCGCTAACTGCAAGGCTCATTGACAAGAGGAGTTGCCACTTTGTTTGGCTGCCGTCCATTGCGAGGGCGCATGCATAGTCGGTCGTCCGATCGTCGCGACCACACGGCTTAGATACGTATCGATCGTAACGATCGCATGTGTCGCACAGTCAATACGCGGCTAATACTCACACCACAACCGACTTTCAAAATACCCTGACGCGATGTCACGTGTTGCTTGGGTTTGCATAAGGTCACCTTATGCGTTCGAGATTTATGCGATCTAAACGATCGTAACGATCAGACGACCAACTATGAATGCGCCCTGAAACGGCAACAAATCAATGAACGATACAGAAAAACCACTGGCACTACCAGCCTAGCCAGCCAAGCTGAATCCGGTTATGTTGCAAACCAGATCTCAGTGGTAGATCAACACCTCCAAAAATCTCAACACTTTAGCTCTAGTTCCGCGAGAGAAGGAAGCGTCATATGATCTTCATAATTCTGTGCTATGATTACAAAGGGAATCAAAAGTGAGGAGGTATAATTCTACCGTACCGTCATACAATAATTTTATTGATATTTCCTATTCATATTTACAATCAATCATTATTTTCATTAGGTACCAGAATGACAATTATACCTTCTACAATTCTTCCTCAAAATCGTCGTCGTCGTCACCATTGCTCGCCACATTCGTCGACGCCTGAGGAGCACTTTGCTGAGCAGGAGCACTTTGCTGAGTCGGAGCTGATGCAGCTGCAGTCGACATCGCTGCACTCGATGCGACACTATCCCGTGCTGCTTCGGACACATCAGCGAAGGATGCGCAGAGGATCCAAATCCGCAGATGATAATGCGTTTGCTTTGTCAATGAGTGCCTTTTCAAGACTTCCCTGAGTAGTGGTACTTGATGAAGCAGGGCGCTCGACAGCGCACCGTACTCCTGAGACTTCTCAGAAGCATTACCAGAGTCCGTGTTCGTAGGTGGTTTCGGAGCTCTGGGAGCAGGGACTACAGGCAGCGGTAGAGATTTGATAAGACGATGAGGTGGAACAGGACGAGGTGCCATGTTCAGCAGACGGTGAGGCGGCAAGGGACGCGAAGCTGGTGGAGGTCTTGGAGCAGGTGGTGGAGGCCGCTGGGCCAAGCTGGAAGGACTTGGCTGTTGAGGGATAGCAGAACCTGGCGGAATCGGAGCACCATCAGTTTTTCGAAGGATTGAAGGAAATCGAGATCGAAGTATAGGTGGAGGAGGAGGAGGCGCCAGAATGCGATCATCCTGATCAGGTACTGACTCTTCAATCGGCTGAGCGTCTCTTGGATTAAGCACACCAGTCCCTCGTGGCGACGGATCTCCAGACGGAGCGGTGTCGTTACGACTTCCTGATCTCTGAAATAAGTCTTTTTAAACGATTGATACAAGCAATACAGCTACGCATCATTTACCGATTCATTCTCCGCAGGAGTAGGAGATCCCCTTTCCAACGGTATAGGACGTACATAGCTGAAAAATCAAATTGTAGATGCACACTGTAAGATGAATGGAAACAGAGTAAATCCTACCCGTGGGAATATGGGAGTAGGGGTGGATCAGGTGGAGGAGGCAAAGAGGATGCTTCTTGGTGAGAAGTTCCTTCGCGAACATATTGCACACCAGGTTGACGACTGGAAACTTCTACTTTACATTGCGTACATTTTACGAAAATCGATTTGCAGTTGAGTAATATTTTATCCGAAGTGCACTTACAACTGATATATTTTATCCAAAGTTACGCTTGGATAAGGCGCAAGCTGGCAACGAGGTCTGAGTTTATTCCGCCAAGGAGGTGCAGGTTATACGCGGGATGGCAAAATGAAAAGTATATGTTTGTTGAAAGTTGCGTACAGCCGCAGTGAGAAAAAGAAGTGAAGGTGTTCTTCTGCCCATCGAAATGAGGGGAAGTTGTTCGAGAGGACTGCTGGATGAGAAAAAAGCGAAACGAAACATAGAAAGCACTGTAACTGGAAAAGTCTTTCATCTTGTGGTCGGCCGTGCTATAACGGAGAGAAGTAGAGCGGCGAACAAAGGGAATACGGAGACAGCTGTCGAGACGAGCGCAGACAACCGAAATCGCGACGAACTAGAAAAAAGCAGCGGTCGCAGCAGTCGAAGGTGTGCCCTTTAGCATCCTTGTCTCGCACTTTCGAGTTACGACAGTGCCACGACTCCTCTGCTTAGGGACTCTGACATCAATCACTTCACAGGGGACCTTTAAGTCTGAGATCTAATCACGACCCGTGCCTTTGAGGGTTCTCAGCAGTATCTTATGGACTCCTTTCGTTAGTGGTGGGCTTATCCTACAAGCGTGTTCGTTTTCTAATGCGACAGCCTCCACTAGCTAAAGAACAATCAAATAAGAGAAAACGAAAAAAAGAAAGCAAATTTTCCACATGGCGCCATCAATACCATATGGATCACTGCGCATGGCCTGCCAACTTATCCTCTCCTGGCTAAGTGAGCTCTTAGGTAGAGAACATGTTTCGAATGGAAGTGAAAAGAGTGACTGCACAGAATGCTCATTGAAGATGACAAACAAACAAGGGGCACCAAGTGGCCACGGGGAACACTACGGCCTAGCAAAAGGTAAAAACGGCACCATGTTCAGTAAGCTCGGCATTACTTTGCTAAAAAGACCAGTTTTTCACATGTATCATACGCCCTTGATACGACAGCATTTCCATGAGAAACTATGTGAGGTAAAATAAGTCTACCATTCAAAGCACCACCTCATACGTAATCCATCACCGCCTATGTATCACCCGCAACATGAGATCCGACTGGAAAGCAGGGTAACTAACAAGAGGATGGAAATCCTCGACGAGTTGTCGACAAATTCTCCGACGAAGTATCATCCTACTAAAAGTTAAGGCCCTAGGATTTCAAGGGACAGACATATCAGATCCACTTCCATAGTGAAAAGGTGAGAGAGGAAAACTACTCCATATCTATTCTGGATGATCACCTTTAAAGCTCGAATAGGTTGTTTATGGAAGGCTGAGGGTCTACAGAAACCAAATACATATCGAAGGCGATATTTCAGTTTCACTATTTCATTCAATGCCAGTCGCACATTCCCGCAAACATCCACAAGGTATGTTGGATTCAGGTCAGCAATAAGTAATGATAGGAGGTAAGAATGTCTCTGCTATAAGAAGTTTCCGTTACTTTCGAGGAAACACCGTCGGTCCTGCCTTTCTCTCAGCGCACCCCCCCCTCACCGTCCCACCCTATTCCAAAATTATTTGGATAGCTTCGACTATAGAAAATGAATAATACGGCCTGACTCACATGACTGGCTGAGGTTGTCTCCTGTACGACGAAATAAAAGGGCGAGTTTGTGAAGGGAGTCGACTCGACCCAGGTTCGTAGGCTTGCTGGCTCTGAGAACGTGGAGGAGTGCGACGATCTTCGATAAGGACTTCCTGCGGAAATAAATATTAAGATAGATCTCGCTAAACGGTAATTCATTCAAGCTAATGCTAACATTTCCAGCTTCATCAAAAACAACATTGCTCGACGAAGGCGAGGAACTAGAGATAGGTTTCGAAGAAACAAAAGGCTGAGAAGGCATCAGTCTCGCATCCTGACATAGGAAGTAGTGAAAAAGTGAGTCTGCGAGATGAAGAAAGTGGTAAATTGCTAACCTTCTGTAGAAAACGCTGTGGTTGCTGGAATCTCCGTGACGGTCGGCACAGGGAATTGGCGCTGACCGAACTGGTCAGAACCAGCCGCGATACGATTACCAAGAGAGTCCGGGCGCGAGATTTGTCCGGACTGCACAACACAGAAATTTCAGCATCAGATTCACAACTATAAATAATATAGTACTATCAAAAAGCAACAACAAACCTGTGACTGCATCAGAGTTCCTTCAGCAAAGCCCGGTCTACGCACGGGTATTGGAGGACGTGTGGCTACAGTAATACGCCGCGGTACCGATGGTTTTGGAGGGAAATTGGATCGGTTGAAAGGACGAATCCTTAGAATGGTAAATGATTTTCGGAATCATCAAATCACAGTCATAATTGGAATCTTCTGTGTTTGAGGATTCTCATCAGAGATGCGCCCAGAAAATTTGTTGCCTCTAGGAATCACACAAGGAGTGAAAACAAATGGAGGGAAAAAATAAGAAAGAAGTAAATCTGTTTAGAGAAAAGCGGACTAAAACATACGAGCGCACAGATATTATAGGTACAAATACAAGTTTCCCAAGATTTTTGTTTGCAAAGCGTTACCCCATTTACTGCCTACCACTTACTGAAAGGATAAACTGGATATTAGGTAAAAAGTAGGGCGCCAATGAAACAATTTGACTACAAAAGGCTTACCTTATAGGTAGTCCCTTAATATTGCTCATCTAGTGAGACTGAAGCCAATACTTTTGTAGGCCCAATCCACACTTATCATTAGACACTTGGGACACACATCAAGTCCAAATACTCCACAAGCGGCATCTCGTATCAGTCAGAGCTTTACTGAACGCCTTTTGGTAAATAGGGGTGCACGCTCTAATTTCGCTTCGAGGAAGTCGGCCCTCTATCGTTTCTAAGTTGATTCCAATCTCCGAAAGTTTATCACTTCACAAAATCAAGACGAGAAAAAAGCGAACGAAGCTCAAAGGCTGGGGCGAGTTGAGAAAATATGCCCACTATAGCGCCGCTTATATCAGTAGTTCAAAAGAGGAATTTTTCTTTGAACAATAACTCCCAAACCAAAGGAAGAAGACTAGAATCTTTGGTAGGCTGGTGTCAGAGTCCGCGATCCGTCGCAGGTTTCGCTGATTTGCGCGATTCACGCGACGGGTCACGGAAATCACAAGTGCCCGATCAATACTGCAAGGTGTTCTCCAATCCTGCCGCCACTTCTGCTTGATAGTGATGGCTGAATGACGACTGCTCATGATTCCACTTGTTTCATATTCAGTGTTTCAAATGTTCAAATGGGGCACTTGCAATTTTTTGCGATCCGTCGCAAATCGCGAAAATCAGCGAAACTTGCGACGGATCGCGGACTCTGACACCAGCCTAACCATCAACGCACTGCGAAGTATGATAGAGCGATTAAAAAAATTTCTCTTACGCTCATTATTTGTAGCCTGCTTACTGCTAAGTGGTTATCAGTCACTGAGTTCCTTACTGCATCATCCGTGGATAGATCTTCACATTAGAGATGAGTAAGCCTCGGTCACCAATTCGTACACATCAATCGGACGAGCATGGATTACAAAATGCTGTAGATCTCTCGGCTACTATCGCAACTCAGAATTTTTACAAAGGCGAAAATTACGCTTTTTAGAAACGTCGGTGGGAAATGGACAAACAAAATTTCACGCTGAGCGTTGATGAACTAAAATGGTCTGCCCCTTCCTGTCGACTTCAAGCACTATTTTAGGACGCCATACGTCGTGAAAGGGGCAAACAGGACATTCAGCCAAGATCTCGCATAAAAAGGGCTGCTGGTGCTTGCAAAAAAGTTAAGGTTAAGAAACTCGAAAAATAACAAGAAATTAATGTGGAAAGAGTAGAATTTCTAAAAATATTGAGTGAGACTTTTAAAGAGCCTCTACCCCACAATTAACAAGAAACTACATATCGAACAGCCTCAAATATATGGTACTTATGAGGGTGTAATAAAAGGTGAATAAGAAGTACCTCGCGCAACTGTACGCTTCGTCTTCCCTTATGACGCAATATTCAGCAACGCGAATATAGCATACACATACTGCGGGAGATTGACCCTGCGTAAGCGCTTCGCCCAGCTGTCCAGTTGCGAAGGCGCGGGCTGAATTGCCTGGAGGGGGGGGGGATCGGGGAGTGGAACGGGGGAGGGGAGGGCTTCTCAAAAAATTGAGCCGAGGTGGGCTGGGGGGTACTTCGGGGGGGTGTCGTTTGATGTTTGGCGTGGGTGTTGGTGAGAGGCGGAGAGTGGGCAGGGCCGGATGCGGGGGGGTGGGGGGGGGTGTGTTGTGTGCCCTGCTTTCAGGAGTGTAATAGATTGACCGCTATAAACAGTCAGATGTCGTTGGATGAAAATAACTAGTAATCATACGAAACCAATGATCTTGAAAAAATCATTCAATATAAGAACAACATTAAGTAGGTTAGTAAATTAAAAAAAAAAAAACTAAAGCACACCTTGGAGCCTCGTTTGTCTAATGAAGAACCAGCCACAAAAGGTGAGGGAGCCGCGCTCGAAGGCAGTCCAAACAATGGCTTTGAAAAGGATCATTAACTGCTGAAATAACTGCTCCATCTACAACAAGTTTTAAAAGTAAGAAATAGAAATCTCAGAATGAGGACAATTGAGGACATACATTTTAGTTTGGATAAAGGAGATATCGGCGGAACTCCTGATGAGAGGTTTATCAAAGGTGAAACTGGCATTCTTGTGTCTTTCACGGGGATACGTTTGCCTTTGGCAAAATCGACTGCAAATATAGAATTGATATTCTGATAGAATTGCAGCAATTGTAAACCGGTTTCATAGTTAAGAAAAATAATATCAAACCTAGGTGCTTTCCGCACAAAGGAGGCGAATGTATATCAATGCACATTGTGTGACAAACACTGCACGGAAAAAGCATATTCTGTCGTTCGTCCAACATTTGATCTGAAAATAGTAAACACTTATCTAGGAAAGCTTTATGCCAAGGGATCATTTTGAAATGGATTAAATGCTCCGAACTATCGAATGCCACCAGATTCAGCGAAAAATGATGCTCAAATGGTGGCAAGGGCGCAATACCCACCCATTCATACCTCACTGAAATAAATGAGTGACAATAAAAAAAACCAACGTGCAATGCAGTAATCGCTGAGCGGGATAGCAGGAGCTGTGCACTGTTTCACTTCTTGATGAAGTTCGATCACATCGGGCGCTTGAAATATCAGAAGATTAATTTGACCGTTGTATTCGTCGTGAAAGGAGACAAATAAAATAAATAATAAGTAAAGATAAAGAAGGATAAAAATAAATTGAAATTACAGACCTCTGTTTTCCTGAAGTTTCAAGTAATCGACAAAATCCTCTTTTCCTTCAACCACACAATCCACAATTGCATCAACTACGGATGAGATAGAGTCCTGATCGTCCTTTGACAAAGCATTTTTCGACGCCTTTCCGAATGAACAACGAGGAGGCTCGGTTCTCACCCACTCTCCCTGGAAAGACTGATCATTGAAGACACATTCAATCACTGAAAAGAGTTCAGGAATTATGGATATGCGATGGGCAACAGAAATCATCTTGAATGTGCACACTATGAGAACTTCCTACAATAAAGAACATAAGGATCTACGTACGCTCTTGTACTTCTGAGACGCCACTATTCGTTTGAGTATCCGGCCGTAGTCATCTAAAGAAGCACATGCTGCGGCAACGGCTGCGGCGGTCTCTCCGAGAGTGATCACTGCAAAAACAGAAGCGTGAAACCGTTTTAAGGCCTAGTCAGCCATTTCTTTCTGATAAATCGAGAAAAAAAAAGAGCTATAGTCTTCGTTCGACGGATTTATTCAATCAATCAAGGGGTGCAGAAGCTGTAAAAGAGAGGAGCTATGGACTTCTCTGTTAGCCCGTTCGTTTGCATCATAGTTGAGTTACTGAGGCAAAAGCGCCTAGTTGATTTCCAGATTTGCTAAGCATATTAGAGATACTGGGATAATTGATCACACCTTGCCACGAAAAACGTTCTTTTTCTTTGAAAAGAGAAAATAATTTGTTGACATCCGCAAAGTACCTTTTCCATTCTTGCTGAACAAATCGTTTGCTCTCCTCCGAGCCCTTTCCACCATCATTTCACCGTGAAGCTTGAGGCACTCAATCTTTCTTTCTGTCAACGCCTTTCTCATCTTCAAAATGTCTTTTTCAGTGTAAACTCCTGCATGCCTAAAAACAATATAGGTGAGCGGCTACTATGGTTCAAGGAACAATTTTTCGTCACTCAAATGGGATAGCGGACTCTTATTTCTCAAGAAATAACACTTTAATGAAACTGTTTTAGAGCGCTAAAATTGCAAACTGACTAGCGACGTGCGAACACCTCAAAGGACCATCTACAGATGAAGCTGTGCCGTATTCTGTGATTGTGCATATCCTCAAAGCAGCTAAGGTCATTCAATAAACGGTTGTTACAGCTGTGCCTTCTTTGCCATTGGTCGATAAATTATCACATCTACCCTCACTTTTCATTCCCATATTGAGAACTCCACCTGGGGCGGTATTCAATCCTTCCCCCAGGGGGATATATCCCCCTACTCTGATTCAATCCTCTGGGGGACAAAAAAGGGTTGCGTCATAGGACCTAGCATACCTCTGTGTTTCTACCTGCCAGACAGTTAGAGCAGCGCGACCCCTCAGGGAAAAGAGTGCTTCATCAGTGGAGGGTAGTAGCGCTGCTCTAACTGTCTGGCAGGTAGAAACACAGAGGTATGCTAGGTCCTATGACGCAACCCTTTTTTGTCCCCCCCAGAGGATCTTAACAGAGGAGGGGATATTTCCCCCTTGGGACGGATTTGAATCCGCCCTGCCAAGGTGGAATGCGTCTCTGCAATTAATTTATACAGAATCAGATTGAGAAAATACAGGAATGAGCTTTGAAGTCACCGGCAAATGCAGTAAGACAAAGTCAAGTAAGCACTCAAATACTACTAGGGTAAAAGTCAAATTAGTGACTCTTCCTGAAAAGGACTTCATAAATGCCAGTATGCTATGATATATTTTCATAGACATGCATAACGTAGTTTTAGGCTAGGGTATGCTTGAATCAAATGCAGTTTGCTTTCAAGAAATGTGAATATGCTGAAGAAAGGGAGGAATGAAAGAGAAAACTTCACAAAAATGCCAACAGACCTCAAAGGTGCCACGGGATCATCGTCTGGGGCATCGTCGTAAATTGTGCGGGGCAACGGAGACTCCCATCGGTGACTGGGCATCAACCATGGGAACTCTTCACTGAACATAAAAAATGTGTCTTCAAAAAAAAAACAGTTCGAAGAGGAGATGTATAAGAAGATTACGTGTTCTTAACAAATGAAGGGAACGGAAAAGAGCGGGTGATCTGATTCCCAATCCCTACCTAATCACGTTATTTTGAGGAGCTATTGCGTGAAACTGCAAATAAGGAAGGTACTTACTTTGGTCTATTGTAATATGCACTGTAACTTTGTTTTTCTAGGTTAGAACGATGAATATTCAAATGACGATGACGGGGTGACACGTTCTCGAAAACTCACGCAATTCTCAATTCCTATGGTCTGTCTCACCAACAATTCTATGAAGCACAATCAGTAGCCAATGAGCTCAACTAAAACTCCCATCAAGTTCGTCATAATCGCACTCGGTTCTCCCATATTGGAGTCGTACTTCCTAACTAGAGCTCTTTTCTAGCTGTCTTTGAAAATGTATAGCCAGACTGACCCTTTCCCATCTCCACCCCTCCCCAACGTTCTGCTATAACGTTCCGCAGACTGACGCTCAAGATGATAAGGAACAATTACAGGTAATGCAGTATTTTGAACAAATGTTAATGAACATGTCAACGAACAAATGTTATTCATGTTAAGCAGATGACGGTAAGAAAAGTTTGGAAAGGCTTCTTCGAAATACAAATATATACCATATGAGACCATCTTGGTTGAGAAAAGGGCTGTACTTTGGCTTGCTCTGCCCGTTATCTTGCATGAGGCGGCGCTCCTCACAAAGAAATCTATTTCTGATGGAGTCATGGAATCTAGCGTGCTGAAATTTCAAAAAAAATAATGGTACTGATCATAAAAAATAGAAATATTTAAATGCTAACATGGATTTCTGTGGGAGAAAAAAAAACCATACCAACCATTTCGCAAATGCCACCGTTGGCTTTCAAATCAGCCTTTTTGCGGACAGATTTGCACTTGATCAGAGTCCTGCTCGCGATGTACTCACACTCCCCATAGATCGAATGATCATAGTCCTGCTCAATTAAGCAATGTTGTGTACCGTACGCGAGAACATAGCGATTCGGTGGCTCCGAAGTTGACCAGTCGATTGCATCCGCCATACCTGAAAGTGCTCTGCACGTTTTACTCCAACCAAGGAAAAGGGGTGCAGGTAGAACAAATGGACCATAATAGGACAGACAGGAACTAACATCGGAAAAGCGGAGATCCCGAATATCAGAGTGTTTCTAAGAGCTATGTGACAATACACAAACCTTCAATTGTAAGTGGACGTGACGGCAATATTTAAGAAAGAAGAGATTCAGCCCAGAAGCGGCTTAATGCTTAGGTTAGTGTCATAATCCGCGAACCGTCACGCGAATCCCGTCAATCGCAAAAAAATGCAAGCGCCCCGTTCGAACATTTAAAACACTGAATATGAAACATGTAGAATCCTGAACAGTGGTCATTCAACCATTACCAT